GTTTCTCATTATTACGAGATACTAAGTCATTATTTCGAGAAAGTTTCTCATTATTACGAGAAACTAAGTCATTATTATGAGAAAATAAGTCATTATTTCGAGAAAGTTTCTCATTATAACGAGAAACTAAGTCATAATTTTGAGAAAGTTTCTCATTATTATGACTTACAGAATTATATTTTTTTATTTAGTGGCGGAAACGGGCTTCCATAGAAAGCATCTGCTGCACTACTAGGGAATCATTTACCTCAGCAGGTAAGATGGGTTGTAAACAGGCAGCGCATTTGGGAGCAAATGTCCTGAAGAAAAGAAAGGAGGAAAAAAAAACTGAATCCACATCAAGCTTGTAAATGCAAATGTTTTGGATGTGGCCGATGTTGATGTTGATGTGGCATTCAAACAGCAATGGGACAACAACCATGTGGTACTATGGGAATTAATGGCTGAATAGAGGGAAAGATATTTTGTGAATAAGTTTATTAAAATCAACAGGCAAAACTATTAGCTGCTAACATTTATATTCAAATAAATGGGTTACTATTTGATGGAATTGTAATTATTTCACTAAAAACGTCCAATTTTTGGTGACATGATCCTTTTGAAATCACTCTTAATATGGGATTTGGTGAACTAAAATAATTATTATCAGTGTTGAAAACTATTAAAAACTGCTTTAATATTTTTGTGATTTTCTTTTTCCATGAATCTTTGATGAATAGAAAGTTCAAAAGAACGATATTTATTTGAAATAGAAATCTTTTGTAACATTATAAATATCTTTACTGTCACTTTCAATCAGTTTAATGTATCCTTTCTTAAAAGTATTAATTTCTTTCAAAAATGACAACCAAAAAAAACTTTATTTCTCTTTTTATTCTTACTGAACAGTAGTAGGTAGTAGTTGATCTATGTGGCAGTGTTGCCCACTGAGGATTTTAAAATGTACTCACCTCTTGCATTACATGCCCATTTTTGCTCTGAACAGCAAATTTGTCACTATATAGACATTGTGCTGCAAAGTTAGTGACTATAATACAGGGAACAGATATATATATAGAAAAAGAATTCACGTTATGAAATGCATTAGCCTTCAACACTTTGATAATGCATGTTTTTTAAGAGATAAATGGCACTGTTGCCACTATTTATTAAGAAATTAAATTAAATTAAGGAAACAATTATTTGTAGCTTTCTTTAGCTTGCAACTAAACCTAAATGGCAACAAATCTAGCAGAAAGGGCGTCAGAGCAGTTGATAATGTTAGATAAATTGCATTGTCGTCATGTCACTTGTAACACTGTTCACTAACAGACCTGTTGTAGTCAGAGACGCAGTAGACATTGTTGAGGTAGTCTACTGTGAATGGCACCCCGTCCAAAGCCTTTGAGCAGACCGTACAGCGGAAACATCCAGGGTGATAGGAGTTCCCTAGAGCCTGCAGAATCTGAGTTACACATAAAAACAGAGAGAGTCAACACTCAACCTATACAGCCTTCAAACACTGACCTCATGCAGAGAACACGTACCTGCTCCAAGATGAGGTGACCACAAACACTGCACTTCTCAGCTGCCTTCTGGAAGCCTGAAAACTATAGTGAAGACATATTGGGAAAATGATGGAATATTAATTAAATTATGAATATAACAGAATTTTCTTATGGAATACTAAATATAAAATTGTGTTCAATATTTTAAATATAAATATTACAATACATTAGTGGATATTAACTCATAAAATTCGAAGTATGCTCTCATTTTCCAAAAAAATAACTACAAATATATTTTGTAGTTTGTACCCTTTTCCAGAGCAACCCATAGTTTTTCAAAAAAAACTATTAAATACCAGATGTGCTCTTGGATAATATTTTTCTCATAAATATTATTTAAATTTTATACATTAAAATAAAAATAGTAAGTTCAGAGTAACTTCAACCCCTTAACACTAACTAAAATAAATACTAAAAAGACCACATGAAGTCATCCCTACCATGTAATCCTCCTTGCAGTAAACGGAGCCATTGACGTTGTAAAAGTCCTTGTTGCGGAGTGTTCGCCCTACAAGTAAAAACAAGATAAGACAGCTGTTCAGACCAGCATGAGAGAGATACTGACCCAAATTAAGAGGTATTGAAATATTGGCTTTGGTTATATGACTTAAAGGCACAATATGTAATTTTCGCCACTAGAGGGCGCGTATTCAAAATAAACAAATAGACAAAGGCTTAGTTTGATGACGCAGTGACTGAGTGTGGAATCATGGGAGTTGTCATCTTCATCCCCACAGCCGATGCAATCGACGGGACTCGGGCAGAAATCATGTTCATGGATGAGCTAATGATTTATTAACGTAGTAGAATGAAGCAGGGTGAGGCTGAAAGCCGTTGAAGCGAAACGAGGCCGCTGAACGAGCGCGACACACGGCTCGAAAGCAGCGGAGCTTTTATTATGCCTCAGTCGACCGCTTCCGCTCCTTCAGTCGTGTGTATGTGGGGTAAAGTAGCGCTGTTTTATCATACTAGATGCATTTGAAAGTTCTGTTACTATGCTACTCTGTGCGGTCGTCACCGGTCTATTAAAACGCACAACATATTAAAGCGTGTTTGGTGTTTCCATGTTTTCTACAAAACAAAACGAGGGGAAATCCAGGGGTTATGACGTCATTGGCAGGTGACACAATGACACTATGGACACGGTCCGTGTCACTAGTTAAAATTGCTTATTTCTCTGGATTTAAACATTCTTCAAAACATTTGGGATAATGTAAGTTCACAAGTCAGCAATATATATAACACTGTTCTAGTGGTTTTTGGATATTTTAATAAAAAAATCTTACATATTGTGCCTTTAAGTGTTGCATTACAGACTGATAACTCACCGCAGGAAACACATGTGAAGCAGCGGGTGTGATAGAGACTGTCCAGAGCCTGGCAAGCATTATCTGCACCATATACACCTTTACTGCACTTCACACATGTACCTGAAAACAAGAATCCAACCACAAACACTGTCTGAGTACACTATAAACAGATGCATCAGAGGCTTCACAACACACACACACACACACACAACTCAAGTGGCTATCTAGGACAATGAGGTCATCATCCAATCATACCAATTACATAAAGCGCAGGCAGCAAAGCTCAAAAATACGCATCTGTGCCGCATGACTCGTGCATTCTTCTCCCATAATACCAGCCAGTGAGTTTGTTTCTTGTAGTAACAGTACACACACCGATAAATCTGAACTCCGCAACCCCTTCATTACTCAAAAAAAAAAGGCTAATAGGCTGTTGAATGCAGGAATTAGATACTGTAATGTGTCGGAATGAGGTAATGTCTTCAACTTTACACAGGTGCTTTTCAGACAACAGGGAGGTTTCCTTGTGGCAACAAAGCGCTACACACACAGAAGGCACAAACACACACCCAACCCTCATAATTGAGTGTGTTAGAGAGCCTTCCCTCAGGACTCAAATACCTGAGCTAAACAAGCACACGCCAGCACACGCTAGTGGCTGCTAACACACATGAACACACCCTCACTCAAACTGTGGCTGGCTGAAAGCCGATAGCGCTTACACACATACACAAAGAGAGAGAGAGAGAGAGAGAGAGAGAGAAACCTCCTTTCAACAGAGCCTGTCCTACTGTATTACTCGCAGCTCTTTGGTATGACCAGTGAGTGTATCACAAAGCCTGTAATTTGGGGTCATGCATAATCACTATGCTCGCTCTAGGCAGATATTTTTTACTCGAGTCGGTTCAGAATTGTATGTATACTCTTAAAAATAAAGGTGCCATAGAAGAACCATTTTTGGTTCCACAAAGAACCATTCAGTCAAAGGTTCTCTTTCTTACCTTTTTATAATCTGAAGAACCTTCTTTTGCCACAAAGAACCATTTAGACAAAAAGGTTCTTCTATGGCATCGTGAAGCACCTTTATTTTTTAAGAGTGTAGCCTTTGGTGGAGGGGTTATATATTTGCTTGGTGACTCGCGAGTTAGTTATAATGGTTAGTTAGAGAAACGGCCTGAATATGGAGGGCTAGAATGTATTTTTGAAGTCTGACTGGATGCGTTTCATGTCTTGCTTTTTGCTTCCAAGAACGTTTGCATGTTTTAGCAGGTCCGAAGCAGTCTTCATCTTACCACATCACACACATTCACAACCTACTGCCAGAGAGAAACACATCATTAGTCATAAACAAACTAGCCAAATTGGACTAGTTAGTGATCTCACCGAAGTACTCCTGTCTGTCCACAGATGACACTGACTCCCTTCCAGCCGACTGTTCTTCCAGGCATGTCCCTGGAGTTCCAACTGGGGCTGAAGTCGATATGGAGCTGGATAGGATGGTGGCAGACACGGGCTGTTCTTTTAAAGTCAAGCCTCCAAGTAAAGCTTCTCCTTCCAGGGCAGCATCTCTCAATAGCAGGCGGGTGAGCTCCTGCTGGTATCGGGTTCCTAGCAAGTCGGAGTGTCGTGCACTCTTGCCCACACCATCGCCTCTTGATCCCCGCTGGTCAGTGGGACCCCATTCTGGTTCTGCTCGGTGGAAGGTGACAGTGTGTGTGCTTAGCGCAGGCGGATATGAGTGACGGCTGTCGTGCACACTTCCTCCAACTCCCGACACCCCTTCGAGACAGTCCCTCCAAACCTCCATAGGGGGCGCTCCTGTTTTCCCGGATGCCTGTATGGGGTACGCCTGACCCGAGGTGGTGCCACCGAGTTGGGTCGAGGAGAGCTGGAGCTGCGGGGTGGGCCCAGGTGTATGGCGGGTGTCATAGCCCAAACTAATGCCGCTGGTCCGGTTACTGCTGCACCGACTTCCCATGGGACTCCCGCCGCCTCCACCGCTAGCGGTACTGCTCGCAAAACTGGAGCGAGGGCTTGCCAACACGGACTCTTGTAAGCTAAAAGAGGAGCAGGGGCTCAACGCTGGTGCAGGGGGGAAAATGAACCCCCCTATGCCGCTGTCATGGGCCCTCTGCGGGGGGTGCGAGAGGGAAGCAGGTCGCACGCTGTCCCAAGGTTCACCACCCGAGCTCAAACGCTTGTAGAACAGAGCTTCCTGCAGAGACAAGCGCTTATGGCGCTCTAATTCGTGGAGGAAGCTGGGCTCCACAGTGGATGAGCGGGCAGCCGAGCTGTGCGTTGGGTACGGAGGTGGAACGGACGACAGCGGAGGAGGCTGGGCGAGAAGCTGCTGGCGGCGAACGAGCTGCTGGAGCTCCAGAGAATAACGCCGCTGCTTCAAGGCTGCGCGAGAATTCGGGCAGTACGCCCCCTGTGGGTCACCTTCACCTCTGGGCGAGTTGCCCCATCCCACCGCTTCTGGTAAGTAGCACGATGCTCGCTGCTGGGGCGACCGACGCCGTAGAGGAGCGAGAGTAGACGGATGATGTTCGATTCCAGGCCCGCAATCCTCAGGTACCGTGGCCGAGGTGGTATTCGAGGTTGCGATTCTCTGAGAATCGGCCACTTTGCCAGGTCTTCCGGCTGACTGGCCACACACCTCTACAGAGGTGGAACAGGTCAGCGGGAACGGAGGTGTGCTCACGGGTGCGCTGATCTGCGCCAAGGTCCCATTATTGGCATTGTTGCTGTTACTGTTGTTATTTGCATTGGCCAAGTCGTTTTTCTTTTTGCTGAATTTGACACTTCCGGAGTCACTCAGTTTGAGCTTTTGCTTGAGTTTGCTGCCAAGTCGTTCCATTGTGTTTTTAATATACGCTCAACTATGATATAAAATATAAAGTACGAATTGAATTTCTCTTAGATGCCACCTGAAAACAACTACAGTTTAAATAGTGTACTACATAAATACAGTGAAATACAGTGTGGGCACAAGCATCATTCAAGTGTTTCAACAGCAGATGAGATAACAGAACAAAAGATACATGACATCCAAAGGTTATAACAAAATAATAATTAAAAAAAACAAATCCACACACACAAAAAACGAACTGTTAAAAACTAATACTTTCTGATGTTCTACAAAAATAAATATTTGACTTTGAAGATAAATAAAAACACTATGACATTTTCCGCAGGCTACATGTCGTACTAGTTAGACTTGAAAACAAACGGTTTGTCTCCAAACTGTTTGCTTGTGATGAATTTGCTGGACATGCGTGTGAACAGGAGCATGTTCATCCATTTGTTTGCGATCCTTTTTGCAGCTACTTGTGGCCTTGTCTTCGGCAGTGAGCAAATGAACGTGTGAAAACTACCGTCAGGTTTCAAAGAGTCTTGGATTCCGCTCCCAGACTCGCGCAGAACCGATCCATTCAAACGGCGAAGTCTCGCAGTCACATCCGCAACTGATCCACTGTTGTCGGAACCACTTGCAAGTCTTATAATTACCACTTGGTTCTTTGTCTCTGTGGATTTATCAAAACGGCGCTGCCGGTTGTTTAAAATATAAGAACGGAGTTTGAATACTGAATGAATTCCAACGTGGTTTCCTTGGATTGTGTCGGAGTTAAACACACAGGTTATGGGGTACACCACGGCCCCTTTCTGACTCAACTAGCGGCTTTCAAAAAAGCAATTTGAAAACGTTTCTCTGTGCGGATAAATGAGCCGTCCGTATCCGAGAACTCAAAAGCGTTTATCCTCAGCAAAAAAGGTACAAGGCAGACCAAAGCCTCCTGTTGCCCCGCAGGATTTCCACTTTGCCCAGTCCAGTTTGAAAGAAAATGACCATTATTCCCCAGAAGTGGAAGTCTTCAAAAGCGTGTAACAATAAAAAACCAGCTGCAGCGAGTCGAAGGGAGGAAGTTGGCGTGTCGCTCACCCAAACATATTCGCAGAGATAAACACGCACTGCGCAATCCACGCCGGAAAACTGCGCTAAAACGTTCAACATACAGTTTCTTTCTTTCTTTCCAAATGTTTTCCCTTCCTCCCCCTTTCTTCTTCCTCTGTGGCTTTTTCCCGACCGGAACACCTTTCCCCCGGGCAGCGCGCATGAATAGCATCCCACTATTTCGTCACACAGCCCAACTTCTTACACAGACTGTGCCCATTGGTTCAGCCTAGTGTTTGGACTTACACAAACAACCTTGACATAATCGCACACATTTATCAAATGACCAAAATAAAAAGACAAATACACTTTTTTGTTAGTCTGGGGGTTTAGAATGAGTTACATTCAATTACAGTCAACTGTCTGTAAATAAGACAATAAACTCAAAAGAAAGTAGAATGCAGTCATGAGTCAAATCATTTTTCTTTTGTTTATAACACCTTATGTTTTATTACACGTAATGTGGCAACACGTGACGAAAATCGATTTAATTCGACTTTTAAAAAAGCGTTTAAATAAACGGAAACCTGTAAACACGCAAATGGTTCGAAGACCTTACATATTTTCTGTGTCGTTTTTCCAACCCTAAGGCCTAATTGGTCGTGCCGTGCCGTGCCTTTCGTCTGTGGAATGCGCGGAGGGATATCGCTAAGTTCACTGGGACAGCGTGAGTCGGCTGCGTGTGTGCTTTTCGCGAGTGCAACAATGTAACTGTTTTTGCTTTTCTACCCTCGCGGAAATGCCTCTCACTGTTCCATAGTTACCGAGTGGCATAAATTCCGGTGACAGCTGACCTGCTGTCGTATGGTTACTGTATTCAACCCCACCGAGACCCTAAAACGACCCAATGCTGTTCTTTTGTCTAAAACCTGTTTTTTTTCCCTACCCCGGAGCTCCCTCCTCCCCTTCTGGTCTCGCTGCAGCTTCTCCTGCGGTTTTGTGGGAGTGCGCACAAGCGAGTGGGGACTTGTCCTGGAGCGCACGCGGGAATGTTTCAGCGCTTACTCAGCACTGCTCGAGCCCGTACACAGGAGGAATGAAGGGATCCAATTATTATCGAAGCGGAAGGTGTTAAGGGCCGGTCTTCAGACTGAGGCGCCTCTGTGTCGTGTTTTTACAAGAGCTTTTCTCACCTTAAGACTGCTAAATGAATGAGAACATGTCAGTCTCAAGTCAGTTTTTAAATAAATGATTCGAAAGTCCATTCAACGTTCTATTCCGAACACCACAAGGAAACATTTGTATACATAAAACCACCACCGGCAGCCACAAGAATCCTCAGTTTACACGTTCTAACGCGTATGTTTTATTTTTGGTTGTTATCTTTTGTCCTCAGATCAAGTGATTAGAAAGGCTGAAAATAAACTAAGTGTAGTTTATTCAACAGGTGAATCAGGCGAGTCTGTGTTGTATTTAATGTGACTACAGCATCATCTACTGGTAGAAATAAGTCACGCCGCCGTACTCCAATGCAGAGTCTCTTTTTGTACCTCTTGCTTGCCGTAGTTGCTATAGTCCAAAATGGCAGCATCCTTGAGGACGTTTTGTACCGCAGGTGAGGCAGTGTGTTAGTCAATATTTAGCAGAATACTTGTTTTGTGAAACGTTGTTGGAAAACAGACGTTGTGTTATTGAGCTCAGGAATACATCTAAACGTTATTCTTGTAAAAGCAAGCCATTAGCCAGCGTGCTAATGCATGTCTATGGTGTTAGTACTCTGTCACAAAGTAACAGCTGATGAGTGAACAGTACGTTTTTCCTAATGGGTCATTTTTGTTTTCACTTATCATTTACAGTGTCGAGGCAGTCTACACGCTTATTTTCATCGTCGTGTGTGACCCTCGCAGGAAAGAAGTGGAGACTGGAGTGAGTTTCCTCTGCAGTTTGACATTAACAAAATGTAATTGGGTTAAGGTGACCAGATTTTTTCAAATTAAAACCGGGGTCATTTCCTAGTGTGTGGTTAAAATATCACTGAGATCTCACTTGTGATTATCTACAAATTAAAGAAACTGGGACAATATAGTTTTTGTTTTTGTTTTTGAATTGCTGTGGGTTCCATATACTAATATTATAATCAACTATAATGATGTTTGAGGATCAAACTGACACTAGTTTTTTTGTTGTTGCTACAATTCAACAAAAATCAGACAAATATAATAAAAATAGTAACTATTGCAAATATCAAACAGATCAAAGCAGTTTTATAACAAAATTATGACACTACAAAAATAAAACAATAAAAATGAGAACATATGGTAAATAAAACAGTTTTACAAATATTTGTACCTTTTCTAACTGAGAACATTTCTAACATTTTTATTTTTGCAAACTGTAAGTATACAGTTACAGTTATTTTATCTTTATGCTTTTGGAAATGGATCTTTCTCCTTCCTAGCTCTAATTCATTTTGCATTTTAGGCTACTTTTGCGCTCAAATTATGTGTCTTATGCAAATATTACTCTGCAAGTGTAATTGTTTAGTTACAAATTGTATTATTTCTTTATATATTTTTTATTTGATCATTCAAATTGGAGTTGTGGCAGCGGAGGTTTCAAGAACATTTTATATTGTATGCAAAACAATCTCGCATTCTTTTATGCCTTGTTATATAGTACACACAAACAGTATTACTTTAATTTAACAGTTGAGCGTGTAGGACTTGATAGTACAATCCCTTAGAATAATCTGCACTTTGTTGACATCTTGAGTGGAGAGTAGGGGTAATCACTTCATTGGGGTCATCAGGTGTGCAGCCTCCTTCCTCTGTTTCTCGTTGATAGGCCCATGACACCTTCAAAGGGCTCAACAGCAACACCTGGCATCGCAGGTGCGCTCCCCTCTGCTTCTACTCCTCTAGGTCATTTTGCAGCCCATTTGCAGCCCATCCTTCCTTTTTAGCCACAGCCAGTTGCTGCTTCGCTCAGCAGCCTCTGACAGCGACCTAATGGCTTGACGTAAGGCCTGTCCTCTGACTCCCAACCCCTTCAGTAGCCTGGTTGTTGCCGTGGCTACAAGACCTCTTCACCCAACCTCTACGGGGAGCAATTGTGTTCGCCGGCCCCGTTGTACTGCTTCGGTTAATAGGTCTGAATACTTCAGCCTTTTACGCTCATTTCCTTCACCAATTGCAGCCTCCCATGGCACAGTTAGTTCCACGATGAACAAGGACTTTTGTGAGGTTGACCACTGTATTAGGTCTGGCCTGAGGTTAGTTGTAATTATCTCAGGTGGAAAGCTGAGATTCTGGTCCAGATCAACCTGCATTTTCCAGTCCCGGGCTATAGGCTATAGTTGGCTTTACTGGAAGCTGTCCTGCTCTTATGAATGTGGGGGCTTTTGAGAATCCAGGCGTTGGAGGAGGGAGGGCATTGGTGGTGATTCTCCTTCCCTCCAGGATAATCGGCAGTTGTCTCAGAACCTGATTCTGCCTCCAGGTGTAACATCCTTGGGAAAGACTGGTTTTGCAGCCGACGAGGATATGCCTTAGCGTTGCTGGGGTTTGACAGAGAGGACATGATGGATCTTCAAGTGCTCCAATCCATTGGTTTAGGTTCTTGGGTGTGGGGAGAACATCGTAGGTGGCTCTGATGATAAAGCTCAATCTGCTTCTTCCATCTCCCAAAGATCCTTCCAGGTGAGTTTACGTTGCTCCAGATTTTCCCAGTTAGTCCACTGTCCATGTTTGGACTGCGAGACAGCCTTTGTTCATCTCTCTGCCTCTTGCTGCCGGACCTCGGCTACTATCAGTTTACTCCTCTGGGCGGATGTTGCTTTGTACCATATGGGTCTGCTTGTCACAAGTCCAAAACCCCCTCTTCCTCAATGTCTCTATGCCTGAGAGCAGATTTTGCCTGCTGTATGGCCTCAGTCGTGGTCCAGTTGCCAATCTGGGAGTAGCAGCTTATATTATAGCATCTTGAGACTCAGTCAGGTCATGTTCAGTTTCACTTTGGTTAGGGTTCGGTGGGTTGGCATTTGATTTTCAATTTTGAGATTCGAATATTCTTTTTTTTTTTTTTCGAACACCTGGCATCCCCCGCGCAACGGTTCTCATTCGCGATTGAATATGAATCGCCCATGAGTGAACGTCATGATTCAGTTCATCTGGAAGAGAAGAAAAAAATGCAAGATCTCAGCTGGGTGGGAGCACTTTAAATTGAGTTGAGGACAAGACCAAGACATTGTGCCAAATATGCGATTTGAAACTGGCCTACCACAACAGCACATCAAGTTTGAAAAATCACCTACAATTCTGTAAGTAGTACGCCTATAGTATATTGTTGGTGTAAAAAAAATTGCTGCTTTTATCCACCATGTTAATCAGTAATTTTTCACATGATAAAAATGTGCACTTAATTTGCTTGGAAAATACTTGCACTTACAGTAGCCCAACCTAATAATAATTTGTCTATATTAAAAGTATTGCTCTTAACAGACCTGTGTGTTTTGTATCACTAGTGCAGTGTCCGTTCTCGGAGCATATAAGCCCTGCTTCTGGCTCGCGCTGTTCTGTAGTTTATTAAAAGTTTAAAATGCGACACTGCACTCACTTGGGTCTGCAGCAACACACCCGCCACGGCTGAAGTCGATTGGATGAATGGTTCTTGACATAATAAAAATGCAAACACACAGATGTTCCTGCCTTTATTAGAGAGAAGAATATGTTCAGCGCCCTTCCTCCGAAGCTTTGAATATTCGGTGTTGATTTACTACCAAAGCTTTGAAGCTCAAAAAATGGTATTCGGACCAGCCCTAACTTTGGTACACTTGTACTCTTCGAAGAGGCTAGAGACGGGCAGTTCCAGGGCACTTTTCCCATACAGGCCGATATTGCTGAGGAGTCCAAGCCACTTCTTGATATAAGAACTGACTGTTCTCTCCAGCTTCTCGATTTTGGTAATGGGAACCTCGTAGACTGTTAGAGGCCACATTAGACGAGGGAGCAATCCGAATTGCAGGCACCACAGTTTCAGCTTGCCAGGAAGCAAGGTATTATTTATACTGTCAAGGCCTTTCGCACCGCAGGAACCTTTTCATAGTACCAGAACTAATTGTGGAACTACCCACTTTTTAGCGTTTTCACACAGCCGGAACTGGGTGCAATTTTAGTACCGGACTGCCTTTTTCGAGAACCAAATTAGCTCCTAATCCGGAGCAGGGTACTACCCGTGGTACTACCCGTGACGTAAGTAGACATTGATTAGCCAAACGCACACAAAAACACCCTCACCTGCCATGATTTAAAATGCCGTATAAACATACTGTAAACATTGTGTCAACTTATTTCGCAAGTATGGAGAACAGCAATATATAGACGGACACTGAAGTGCAGGCACTTGTAGCAAATGTAGCACTGCCAGTTGTTGTTGGAGATTCTTAGTCCTCCTTTCCATTCCTTCAATCGCTTTACGTATACGTTGACATTCCATGTCCATTATTGTGAAACCCACGAGACACAAAAAACACACAGCTCCGATCACAGCATCCTCCATCCTCCTGTTGTTAACGTTGTTGTTCTTTGTTTGTTGAACGCCGTGCACAAATTATGTCGCTGTCGATCGGCTTACGTCACTCCCTAGTACACGCTGTTGGTGCGAATGCAACCCTTTAAATGGTACTGGGAAATAGTTCGCACAAAATTGTCCCAGTACTTTAGTACTGTACATTTAGTTCTAGAACTAAAGCGGTGCGAAAGGCCCTATGGTTTCTTCCCTCAGTTGGTCACTCTGATCTGAGTCCTTGAAGCTTGCATTGTACCATTGCCCGAAGCTCTTGACTGGCATCTCCTGCACCATTGGAATGGGTGTTTCATCGATGTGGAATCTCTGGTCTATGAGTTTCCTTCTGACAATGGATATGCTTCTAGATTTACTGGGTTTTAACTTCATACGCGCCCATGTTATGTTGGCATGAAGCTTTGCCAGTAGACGTTTGGTACATGCAATGGTTGAGGTCAGGGTGGCCATGTCATCCATGTATGCACGAATAGGAGGAAGATGCTGTCCAGACTGCAGACGTTCTCCTCCTACTACCCATATCATACTAGTATGTTCTAAGCATCCCGAGAAGCCTGGTATACCAGCTTTCTGTATCGACGTATCAATCAATTTGTTTTGTTTCAGGTATGTTGTCATCCTTTGAGGAACAATGCTAAAGAAGATCTTTCCTTCAACATTCAAGAGATTGATTTTTCGAAACTGGTTGATGTTCAAGGCATCCTTTTCCTTTGGGATTAGCACTCCCCCTGCTCTTCGCCATGTTTTTGGGATGGTTTGTTTTTTCCAAACCACTTTCATTTGCCTCCACAGGAAACGAAGAACCTCTGGAGCATTCTTGTACAGCCGGTATGGAACTCCGTTTGGTCCAGGAGCTGAAGTTGCCCTTGGTTTTCTCACAGTTTTCTCAACCTCACTCCACCTTGGAGGGCTGTCATCCAATTGATGTTCTGGTTGAGGAATGGGTGGCATGTCTGGTGGTATCACCCTCTGCTCATATATCTGGCTGATTTTTCGAAACTGGTTGATGTTCAAGGCATCCTTTTCCTTTGGGATTAGCACTCCCCCTGCTCTTCGCCATGTTTTTGGGATGGTTTGTTTTTTCCAAACCACTTTCATTTGCCTCCACAGGAAACGAAGAACCTCTGGAGCATTCTTGTACAGCCGGTATGGAACTCCGTTTGGTCCATGAGCTGAAGTTGCCCTCAGTTTTCTCAACCTCGCTCCACCTTGGAGGGCTGTCATCCAATTGATGTTCTGGTTGAGGAATGGGTGGCATGTCTGGTGGTATCACCCTCTGCTCATATATCTGGCTGTCTGTGTGTGTTGCTTTCAGGTGGTCCTCCAGCTCCTTCTTTGACACTTTAAGTGACCCACTCTTTTCCTTTGTAAAGAGAGCTTTCACAAATCTGAAAGGATCTTTGTAGAAGGATGTTCTTGTCCTCTCCTTCTTCTTGCATCGTTTTCTGCTCTCTGCAGTCTTCCCAGACGTTCCTTTAGATCTGCTTGCAGAAGGTTTATGCCAGCTCACTCTTCTGGTGAGGATTTCTTCCACTGTTTTCTCAAATCCCTTCTCTTTTTGACCAGGCACATGATTTCTTGCTGCCTTCTGGACTTGGGAGGGGTTGTTGTTTTTTTTCTTTCCTCTCTCTTTTGCTCCGAATCTTTCCACCCCGTATGAGTACACCAGATCGCTCATTTTATCTAGCTTCTTCTCTGCTGTTCCTCTGAGTTCATTCAGGATCTTACTTGGGTCTGCGTTGACTTTTGTCCACTCTTTCTTGCTTCCAGACTTAGGCCACTTCACTTGAGGTCTGTAGCCTTGGATATTCTTCTCCATAGCAAGCTGCATCTGGTTGGGTTCCAGGTTCTCGGATGTTGTGCTCAAACTACCCTCCTCAGCCACTGGGGTACTGATGCTCCGTGGACTAACTAACACATGTATAGTTAGTATGTAACATCACTGCACGATTGTCAGCAGTCTGGTCACCCTAAATTGGGATGATGATAAATATGGATGTTGGTGATGATACAAAGAAGATATATTTTTAAAATTCAGCTTAAATAAACCTTGATACAGTTTTGAATAATATTTTAATAAATACTAATTGAAAAACTGATTAAATCAGATTGTTTGCGTACATTACATTTTATTAGCAATGGTTAATCTTGATGTCAGTGTTTTGTTTTGTTACATGCTTCATTGTCATGCTCCCTGTTTGTGTGCAGAAATGGTTTAGCACGTAGTGGATCAGAATATGGGCCATTAACAGATCTGCCTGACTGGTCATATGCAGGTGAAATTTATTTTATATTTTGTTAAAAGCCAAAGGCAACAATGGGGTGTGGTTTTGTTGTCAGTTCTTTTGTATGTGTCACGGTATTTGTCAAAACACTGTCAACAGTGAATGAGAATATAAATGCTGACAAGGATTTGTATAAATTATGTGATTTTCAGATGGAAGGCCTGCACCGCCATTGAAGGGGCAGATCCGCAGACAAAAGCAAAGAGAGGAGTTTGCTGTAAGACTCATGTTTTTGGATTGTTTTTGTTCCTGCTTATATTTCATTTAAAGTAAAACTTGAAATGTTTTAAATGTTTATATTTGTGTGCACATTTAGAGAAGAGCAGTGTATCTCAGTGCAGAGGTGGATGAAGGGATAAAGCAATGGCAGGAGAAGAAGGAAGAGGAGAAAGAGAAAGAACAGCATGTGAAATCCTTATTGTTAAAACCTAAAGGAAATGTATTAAAGAACAAAAAATAAAGATACTTTAGGACAAAAAAACTTGGGCATGATTTTTGTTGTTATTGTTAAACACACCAATGCACTATAACAATACATGCATACTTTTATAGTGGTAGAAAATAAAACGTTTTTATTGTTAAGGTGATTGTAGGAGGACATTACGTTCTGAGGGAAGGAGTTAAGCAGATGCGGACTTTCTAAGACACTTATTTCAGGGACTGTTGTTGTGAGAAAAAACCCAAACAATTTGCTCAAATTGCCCTAGGGTACAATAATAATAGCTTGCAGGTCATAAACATAGAAACAGTTGGAATTTTATTTTTCACATTTTTATGTAGTCTAGCTTTGTAGACAAATATACTTTGGACCTCAGTTTAACGTCTCATCTGAAGGACGGTGCTTTTTGACAGTATAATGTCCCCATCGCTATACTGGGGCATTAAGACCCACACAGACCGCAGGGTGAGCACCCCTTGCTGGCCTCACTAACAGCTCCTTCCAGCAGCAACCTAGTTTTCCCAGGAGGTCTCCCTAGAGCCCTGCATGGGCCTCAAATTAGAGCTCAGGCCCTAGCCCAGCCCTTGTCCAACAGCTTATCAGAATTACCGGCTCGAGTCCAACCTGAGCCCCTCTTTTTTTCCCCCCCTTCTCCCAAAGCAGCTTATACAACTGTTTCAGCTATTAAAATAGTTCAGTTTTGTATGGCAAGTGATTATATTTCGTTGAGTTTTTTTATTAAGTTAATTTAGAAAAACGTTTGGAGCATTTTTTGTTAGTTAAATATAAGTTTTTGATTTTTAAAGTATAACGACCAAGCGGCCAGCGGCAGACAGTGAGCTGATCATAGCCTATGTTTGATCAATTTAGCCTTCATAAATCATCACGACTTGCCTAAAATAAAATCTATAGATATAAAACAATTCAAGCATACAACAATGTTTAAACGTTAAACCTAGATAAATGTGCGCTATATCCAATAGTTTGTGTGGAGAGTGGAAGCTAAAGCGCGCTTTGCAGGGCATGGAGGCGCCAGCGCGATCACTTGCATTTTTTTCAGTGGATACGCTGTCATTTTTGCCCATGAAGGTAAGAGTAATACATCATTCATAGCTGTAAAGGGTCTACTTTTATTTGCCTGCACTCACACATGATGCGCTTTCTGCCGTCTCGGTCTTGAACAGGAGAGCTTCACAAAAATTAACCAAAACTCAGCGAATACATTCCTCACAGTCATGATAAATATATCTATAGAAAGCTTTAAATTACTAAACGAAATAAAACTAATCGAAAACAAAAACTCTTTCAATCATAATCATGATCCATAAAGATGCACTTCTCTCTAAAGGTGCGTCTAATGAGGAGATGGTAAGTCAGGATCAGCAACTTCATTCTTGCGACATGGACTCAGAAAACACTAGTTTAGTAAATAATTTAAATATCTCCTATCTATTTCCCCTGACACATTCATGGTAATTACTTTTGCTGGTGCTTTGCCGCAAGCTCTTGAGCTTTAGCCTTGAACGCGGAACTCTTCCCGCTGCTGAAGGCACTTGTGCTCGCTGCTGGTGGACACTAAACACCATCGTCACTATGAACACCACACTCTTGACAGTCGTGGCAGCACGGTCTCGTGTTGTTTCCACCTATTTTTTCCATCACTGATGGATGTCTAAAATATAAAAAATAAGGAGAAGCCTGAAACAGGCCCGATGCCAGGCCCACCTGGATCAGATTCAACCATTTTTGTCAGCACTATGAGAAAGTTTTGTTTAAGATGTAAGCTGACAAAAACAACAGAAACCCAAGATTTCTCTCACACCGCTGAATAACCACAGTTATGATTACATATATTTTATAGTTTTAAAGGGGTCCTATTATGCGTTTTCACTTTTTCAACTTTAGTTAGTCTGTAATGTTGCTGTTTGAGCATAAAAATATCTGCAAAGTTACAAAGCTCAAAGTCCACTTCAAAAGGAGATATTTTATTTAACAGAAATCACTTTTCAAAAACTACAACGAACGACTCGTTTGGACTACAACGCATATTTTCCGGGATTTGTGATATCACAAATATCGACGAATGGGACGAGACCTGGTTGAGCTGCACTAGAGAAGGCAACGAGTGTTATCACTATGTCGGAGACACGCTAGCTTTCCCAAGGCAGACGAACTTAGAGTGGTTACAATCATCCGGGTTTAAATCGCGCTCAAACTGATTTGATTTTGATGCAATATTTACACTGAAGCTTGCAGGCGGCTATGATAAGGGGCATGTCATTTCTCGACCAGGCGCCGAGTGCTGCCAATCACAGCACACACTGGCCCAGCTAACCAATCACAGCACATTTCGTATTTCAGAAGGCGGGCCTTCATTTGATACAGGAACTATTCGAGCCGTTCATGTCAGACTGGGGAGAGAGGTGTTGTAATAATGTAAAAGATGTGGAAAATAAATTTTTTCGAACAACCTAGTATGAGATCCTGTTCTAGTACCCCCCCAAAACAAAATCAAGACCTTGTAAAAGAGCATAATAGGACCCCTTTTAGTTTTATTGAACCTATCCATCTCTGTCTTCTGGTCTGTGTCATTCAGAAAATACTATTGTTCACAGGCACTGAGACACAAATCAAGGCGAGGTTTTATATGCTGATCTTTCTCATATTGTTTGAATTTCACCAACAGATTTTTTCCTTTGTTCGTTTCCCTGCCTTTCTCTATCTCTCTTACTCTGTCGCTCCCTCATGTTGTTTTGATTCTCCACAGAATGAGATCCAGATGTTTTTTGAAGTGCAGAAGGAGAGAGAGAGCAGAGGACAGGAAGGGTAGGGGAGGGACGAAATATGAGGTGAATGTGCACTCCTTTAGCATACATAAAGGAAAAAAGAAAACAGACGAGAAATATTAGAGTATGGAGCAAAAGTGTGTGAGGATGGCAGACTGGGGGCCTATATGTGTGTTGGAGTGGGTCCTAACAGGATATGACAAAGCTAAGGTTACAGTATGTGTTTGGCCTGGGGGTTTGGATACAGCAATACACTTCCTGCTTCAAATGTACGTCTAAGCGAGAGATTTGGACAAAATTACAGCTTGATTGTAAATGACACACAATTTAAAATATTCTGCTCACAATTGATATTTACCTTGATTTCACTTTATTTTCTTCACATATTAAAACAGCACATTTTAGAGTGGCCTTTTATTGTGGCCAGCCTAAGGCACACCTGTGCAATAATCATGCTGTCTAATCAGCATCTTGATATGCCACACCTGTGAGGTGGATGAATTCTCTCGACAAAGGAGAAGTGCTCACTAACACAGATTTAGACAGATTTGTGAACAATATTTGAGAGAAATAGGCCTTTTGTGTACATAGAAAAAGTCTTAGATCTTTGAGTTCAGCTCATGAAAAATAGGGGCAAAAACAAAAGTGTTGCATTTATAATTTTGTTCAGTGTACATGAAACCAAAAAAAAAGGTAACAATTGCAGGTTACCACTTTTTACTGAGTAATTCTGTTGATGGTTTTTCCAGTATACACAAGTTTGAACTTGCCCTCCTCTGCTCCTCTCTTGACTTCTGTTCACCTCTCAGTCAGCAGTGTGTGGTAAAAAGTATAGTAATGTAGGTTATACAAAACACATATACACAGTCTGAATTGCAAGCAACTGTCCAGGCCACGTCCTGTTCGCCAGCTCAGCGTGTGTGTGGGTGTTTGTGTACTTTTTCACTGGCCACCCCACGAGACACCAAACATGACTGCCAGAGCTCTCTCACACCACCATGACCAGAGCCAGACTTTCTGTTCTGTCCTTAGCGCATCTGTCCATCCCATGAACAGAGATGACACAGTTTCAGTAGAAATATAATATGTAGAAATAATATATGCATGTTTTAGTAATCTAAGCTGAACAAGTTAATAAGGGCAGCCACAATTTCCAGAAAATCACATTTCTTGCAGGCAGAGAAGTTGCAGGCATTTAGCCTGAAGGGCAAAGTGTGCCAGAGACAGAACAAAAGCAAGAAATACAGAGTAATCATCAGTAATTTGACAAGTTCCTTCATGTCATCATTATGTTGAACTGGCCGTTTTTCATCTGATTAATATATGCTCATCACTGTACCTATTAAAAAATCATGCAAAGAGCAATACAGTGAACGGGGATTCAAAGATGGGGGAGAAAGAGAAAGAGATTGGAAAGGGAGGGGACAGGAAAAACAGCTCAGAGATGTTT